AAAAAAAAAAAACAACAGGCATTCCTATTTAAATTATTTAAGTTTTGGCAGATTGAGTCTTTTAAGAAGTTGGCCTTTTATTTTTTTGTAATCTGTTCATGGTATTCTTTTATAATCTTTCAGTATTCACTTGGATCTGTAGTGATATTCCTTTTTTTCATTTTTGATATTAGTGATTTGTGTTCTCTTTTTTCCTTTATTGAAATATTAATTTTATTGATCTTTTCAGACAGCTTTTTGGGTTTCATTGATTTTTCCCACCTCTATTTGTTTCCTGTTTTCCATTTCATTGACTCTGCTCTAGTTCTTATTTCTTCTGCTTACTTGGATTTAATTTGCTTTTCCTTTACTAGTTTCCCAAGAAACTGAGAGTATTCATTTTGGTTCTTCCTGTTTTGTTTTTAGAGATTGATTTATTTATGCATACAGGAACTGGGATACAGGCCAGAAGTGCGGGAGTTGAGAGGATTTACCAGAGAGTGTGGGGAGAATAGGCAGATCTACTGAAATACACTGCTGAGGGGAGCGGGCCAGGAGAGGTCTAGAGGTCTACTGTAGCATGTGGGGCACCTACTGGCCTGTGATGATGGAATCTGTGTTGCAGTAGCTGTGGACAGCTTCGTAGTGCTGCACTTTAACCCTTTGTACCACATGGGAAGCCCATTTCTTCCTTCTTTCTAATACTACATGTATTATTGCTGTAATTTTCCTGTAGGCATTGCAAACTGCATTTTGCTTCATCACATGTTTTTAAAGTTGTGAATTCATTTTCGTTTAGCTCAAATATTTTAAAGTTTCTCTTCATATTTTTTCTTTGACCCATGTTACACAGAAGTATGTTGTGTTACCGCCATACGATCTTCCTGTTACTGATTTCTAGATTAATTCTGTTACAGTCTGAGGGAAGACATTGTTTGATTTCTGTTCTTTAAAATTGTCAAGTTTCATTTTATGGATCAGAATATGGTCTTTCTTGGTGATATTTCATGTAAACTTGGGGAAGAAAGTATATATAACATATATAACATTACATAAATTATAACATTATAACATACTTTATATATAACATCTGCATTAGCTATTTTAACCCAAATTCTATTAATAATTGAAGAAACTATAAGTATAGACTATATTTTTGTTCCATAGGTAAAATAATAGAAAAAAAAGTAAATGCATAATAACTAAATAAAAACAAAACAAAAAGTACAAAGTTTTTTTTATTTTTTAATATTTGCCTTTGTTTTCTACTCTATTTTTTTAAAAGATTTATTTATTTATGCATACAGAACTAGGGTACAGACCAGAGGTACTGGGGTGGTGAGAAGATTCACCAGAGACAGAATGGGGAGCAGAACAGGCTGGCTGATGAAGAACACTGCTGAGGGGAGCAGCGGGCGGGTCAGGAGAGGTCTGCTGCGCAATGTGGTCACCTCCCGGGTGGGGATCGAACTCATGCAGAAGTGGCTTTAGCTTCTTAGTGCTCTGCTTTAACCTATTGTGCCACCAGGGCATGCCTATACTCTGTCTTTAACCCTAGTTTACTTAATGATAATACAGGCTTTTTTTTTTTTTTAATAAGAAAAGATAACATATTTTTCCTGAAAGTGACAATAGTAGTATATAAAGTCATAATAACGGAATCTCAAAGAACTATAGATGCTGAGTTGCCCTCGTTTTGTTGGTGATACTACCCCTGCTATACCGAGTTCAGATTTTAGCCGTATTTAGCTACATCAGTCAATTTTATCTATAATAGATGGGGAAGAAAATGTTAAAACCACAGTTGATTATTTGCAAAGATATACTGGAGACTAAAGCAATACCAATGAAATGTAAGTGTCATTTATATTTTGACATGCTTACATTTACAACCCAAAAGGCATTGCTTGAAAGAAAGAATATCACAACTGAGTTGACAGAAACATCCCTTAAGGATTTCATATGTGATCATTGTGCTTTGTGAGCTTTTAAAAAAGTATTCAGATTGCTAACTTTAAGAAACTACATACAAATAATAGGACAAATGTATATGCTTGGAAATGTTAGGTGAAGCTATAACAAAGAGGGTAGTTCATGTATGCTTTCTAACAGCACTGTATAGCTTGATGTAGTTAGTAACAGTTCAGAATTTCAACTCATAGACAAATAAGGGTAGCAAAGGAAATTTGGTTAATATTTGAAGAACACACTGATTTTGTTAAGATAACCATGCCCTGAAACAATTAATTTTTCTGCTTGCTTGCTAGCAAACACAATTTTCTCTGACTTGTATAAAATTTTTGAAAGGTTAACAAAAAATGTGGCTAAGGTTTTTGCTTTGATTTTTGTTAAGAGTGTGTCTGATTATATAGGGCAAGTGACAGGAGAAACATGCTGGAACTTGTCCTAAAGTACACATCAACATACTTCTTTTCTCTTTGAGAAAGCCTTGCTGTGTTAGCTGAATTAAGCAGTATACTTCCTCTGTCAGCTGTGTTAACCATGGTTAATTCACAGTTTGAGTTATTTAATATGAACACATTCAATGTATGATTTAAATAAGTAAATTATAGTTTGTCAGCTGAGCCAACCAGTTATTTATTACATGTTGAATTTTGCAGCATAGGGAAACTTTCAGACAAGAGTAAATATTTGAACTTGAGATGAGGGTTTTTTTTTTTTTGGTTTTGTTTTTTGGCAAACTGAGAAGTCAGTTTGCCACCCGCCCCCATTTTAAAATATGTGAATTGTGATTAATTTGTCTGATTGCTTTAATTTTTCTTCCATGCAGAGAAAAAAAGTCAAGTGTTTTCAATGTAAAAAAAGATCAAAGGACAAATGAATGTTAGAAATTTGGGGAAAATATTTCTATAAATTATTACGATGGGCTTTGCGATATAGAAACAAAGCAGGTGTGATCTTGGTATTATACCATGTTCTAACCAAACACCTCACAGATTTGATAAGATATACTTTGAATTTTATTTTACTTAGAAGAACTCATGTTTTCAGTAAGGTATTAGTTGATAAAGGATTCATTTTTTAACCTGATTTTTTTAATTTTTAACTATTAATATTTTTGCTGGGTAAATGAATAGAATTGACTACTGCCAGAAAAGGATGAAAGACCCATTTTGAAAAGCATCATTTTCTATATTTAGGTAAAAGTTAAAAATGAATATTTTTAAGTAACTGAAACCGCTTTAAAATCTCTTGTATTCCTGTAAGCATGTATCTGTGAATGTTCCTGCTGTACTTTTTAAAACAGAAAGTAGCTAAGTAGATCCCTTGTGAGTATAATTGTCTTTAGTCCAACCAAACTAGGTAAATTAACAAGTAGGTTAGCCAGCTTCAGAGAAAGTCCCCAGGGTTTCCTACCTCCCACTTACATCTTGTGTTATTCCTTTCCACATTGCAACACAGATTTCATATGAGAGGTGTCACTTCTGGAATTAGGTTGTAACAGACACTGCAACTGTCGTGGTTGCTCTGTCACTTTGTCTGGATGGTGTCTGCCATGTGGTGTGATGAAGAACTTGGTGGAGAAACACCGCCATACTGAGGAACACTTATGTTCTAAAGAACTGAGGTTTCTGGCCAATAACCAGTGAGAAACTGAGACTCTCTGCCACCCGCCTTGGGAGTGCTCTTAGGGGTGAATTCTCCAGCATAATCAGCTCTTCAAATGAGTATCTCTGACCAACATCTTGAGTAAAATAAGAGACCTATTATGACCAGGAATCATCACCACTCACCAATGCTGTTTTCCAACAGAAATTGTGAGATATTTATTATCTCACACAATAATGTATGTTGTTGTCGCCACTAAGTTTTTGTGTAATTTTTCATGTAGCAATAGATAACTAATACAGAAAATAAGGAAGCTCATTTACTGCATTAAAATCTTTATAAACATAAACATTGACTTGCTGTTAGTTCAGTGATGTTCAATATGGAAAAGTGCTATCTTATTCATAACTGTTGGTTACATTAGGATTAAAAAAAGACAAAATTTACTAGTGATAGCCATTTTTTCTGTTATTGCCTGGATGTATTTTCAATGAAAAGTATGCAATTTTTTTCTGTTCATTTAAATTATATTACTGACATTTAATTTTATGTGTCTGAACCTAAAAGAAACCAGTTTGATTGTATTTTGTGGAACTTTTTTTACTTTTATTTTTCCCATAGTTCACTTCTTTTTGATGTTATAAAGGTATTGGTCCATGATGAATTGAAATGAAAAATGAAAGCAAAAAGGAGCATGAAGATGAAGTTGTTCCACAGATACTCTACATTGTTTCTCCTATCTTAGTTCTTTGTATATGTGTTTTTATTGTCATGGTCATCTTGCCTTATTATAGTTAGTTATATTCCCTGCTAAATTAAAAACTCTGTGAAGGACAGAGTTCATTTCTGTGTTACCATTACATTTTCAGTACTCAGGACAGTGTTTGACACTTAGTAGCTACTCTGTAGATATGGATGAAATAATGAACATTTATATATATATATATATATATATATATAATGAACATTTTTTAAAACATTTTAAAAAATTTTGTTGGACTAATGATTAACTTTTGTTGTATTAATGAGTCAACTATTATAAGCATGTGCCCTTGGAAGAATAGAAATTTTTTATGGTAAGAAAATGTTTTGGGACTCTTTTTGTTGAGTATATAGGGATTTTTTAATAGAAGTTTTTTTTTTTCTTAATTTCCATAGTACAACCACTGCATCTGAAGAAGATGTCTCAAGTAGACATACCCGAGCAGACAGAAATGCGTTCAGCAGATACAGGGATGCAAATGCTTCAGGTAATTTGGTCTCAAGTAGCACATTGGAAAAGAAAATTGAAGAACTTGAAAAGGTATGACCTGTAAATTATTTTGATAAGACTAATGTATCATTAGAATTCCTTTTTTAATTCTACAGCAGCTGGGAAAGAGAAAGTAAATGGAAATTTGTAGTGGGGAGATGATGCTAAAAAAGGAAAATGAATGCGGTACACCAGTAGGAAGTATCATTTGTGTTAATTGGTATGTCCAGATATATTCAAATAACAGCATTGACTTACTCTTTTAAGTATATAATTTCTAGATGTATAGCGGTGGACTGTGCATTTTCGGATTCAATACTTTGCTGTTCTGTTGAGTTAAACTTTTTGAAATGAAGCCAGTTTTTATATTCCTTTATATTTAATGTATGCTCTGATTCTGCCAAGTGTTATCTATGCTATATTGAAAACCATCTTTTCTTGACAGTTGTTTGAAGTCTGTGTGTAAATTATATTTTCGGTATACACAGTATCTGTAGACTTTCCTTTGAGTCTCAGTGCCTAGGATCATCTCCGGTGGTTGAAACAATGTTAAGAATAAACCCATTTAGGAGTATCTTTGAAAACAACTCAAGTGCACATTGGTATAAATCTATTAATCTATGGCTATATAGGTGTTCAACCTAAAGTCAGTAATGGTACACAGTCAGTAATGGTACACAGTGCTTTCCGATTGGTAAAAATGTTTTGTTGTGTTTAATTAAAAGTCTTAACTTGTGATATGAAGATGGTTTTAAGTAGAGATTTAATTTTTAAAGTGTTTCTGTTTTATAACATAATTACTTTTAGTTCCTATCTATGTTTTAAAACTAGTTTTTATGGGTTTAAATTTTTAACTTTAAGGAATACACATTTTAATAAGTTTCAAGCGGGGTCTTCAGGAAATCTTCAAAGTTGGCAGTTGGCAGCAGTTGGATTTAAGAGGCAGGCTGGCAGCTTTTCTCTGACGGCTAGCTAGCTGGTAAGAGGAGCCAAGTTCAGGGGAAATACTTTCTGAAAGTTCTGCTTCTCTTATGCCCACATGGTGGCCAGCATAGCCCAATACACTAGACTCTAAATAAGATTTTGTTGAAAAAAGGTGATTCATTTTTGAAACAAGTAGTATTTTTAAAACTGCATTGTCTCAGTTCCTAATTTTTATCCATTGTCAGTTAACTGACAGCCAGAAGTAAATCAAGGACCATTATTTTTCTGTTTTAAGAGTTTCCATAGAGCCACATACTTGTCTTTTTTTTTTTTTTTTTTTAAGATTTATTTATTTATTCATACAGAACTGGGGTACAGGCCAGAGGCTCAGGGGCGGTGAGAGGCTTCACCAGAGACAGAGTGGGGAGCAGAACAGGCAGATCGACGAAGTACACTGCTGAGGGAAGCAGCGGGCGGGTCAGGAGAGGTCTGCCACACCATGTGGTCTCCTCCGGGGCAGGAGGCAGGTGGGAATCGAACCCATGCGAAAGTGGCTTCAGATTCTCAGTGCTGTGCTTTAACCCGCTGCGCCACCAGGGAGGGCCTGTCTTTTTTTTTTTTAAAGATTTATTATATTTATTCGTACAGAACTGGGGTACAGGCCAGAGATGCGGAGGGTGAGAGGATTCACCAGAGACAGAGTGGGGAGCAGAACAGGCAGACTGAGAAAGTACACTGCTGAGGAGAACAGTGGGTGGGTCAGGAGAGGTCTGCAGGGCCATGTGGTCACCTCCGGGGCGGGGAGGGGATGGAACTCATGCAAAAGTGGCTTTAGCTTCTTAATGCTGTACTTTAACCCGCTGCACTATAGGGAGGACCTGCTAGTTGTTTTAATATGTGCCATTCTCACTGGTGTGAGATGATATTATGGTTTTGATTTGCATTTCCCTTATTACAAGTGATGTTGAACTTTATAATTTTAATAAAAAAGTTGGATTTCCTTGAACGGGATCTTATGCATTAAAAACTATAAGGTATTTCTTTAGGAATGGTAGTCATAAGCTATCACAGGGCATATCATTGTGTATTCATATTTGTTACTGAAAGACTGTGTAAGCATAGACTTACTCAGAAATATTTAACTTATTTTCTTATTTTTTTTACTGCATGTGGTCCTCTTTCCCTTATCTATTGACTAAAGAAGTTCATTAAAAATTTTCATTAGTAGAAGTATGCCACTTAAGAATATAAACAACTAATTATTTCTCAATTAACACTTTAATTATATCTACCAGGAAATAATAAAAGAAAGACAAGAAAATTTAAGGCTTGTGAGACTAATGCAAGATAAAGAGGAAATGATTGGAAAACTCAAAGAAGAAATTGATTTGTTAAATAGAGTAAGTATTTGCATGTTTATGTTTCATGGTTTCCTTTTTTCTGTCAATGGAGGAAAATGCATAAATATGAAAAATTATTTCTTCTTTTAGTTTATTCTTTTGTTTATAAGGTGCTGATTTTTTTTTTTTTTAAGTGTGGTAACGTTGACATACAACACTTGTGTGACTTAGAGCTATAGGGTGATACCTTTCAGGTGAATGTTTCCATAGCAGACCCACTAGCAAGACATCCATAGTCCTCTGCTATAGTCTATTTTGCTTCCTCCCCACTTGTTCTCCCTTTTCCACTCCTACTTTGGTAGCCTTAATTCTACAGTAAGATTTTTAGGGTATGCTGTGATTTTGTTTTATCTGACCCTTTGTTTGGTTTCTCTGTATTCCCCATATAAGTGACACCATCTGGTGCTTGTCTTTCTCCTTATTTCTTAAGCCTAATCCTCTCTATTTTCAGACATTTTATGGCAAGTGGCAAGAGTTTATCATTGTTATAGCTGAGTAATTTGTAGAAAAGAGCCCTCATTTTATTCCATAAATAGGTTTCCTCTGGGCAGTTTTTAGTTGTATCTGCTTAGTTTTATTCTTTGAGAATGGACTACTAGATTTGTTCTGTGTTTAGAGTCTAAAAGTGAGACACAGAAAAGGAAGTTAGCACTGTATTGCCTCTGTGAAGAATTAACATTGATACTTTCTTGCATAATAAATTCCAGATATCTTTATGTATTTTCACCGCCTTTTTTTCTCCAACTAGGCATCTCCAACTTCAGATTTACCCCCCCCCCATGTTCCCTACCCCACCCTCCAGCTGTTCTTTTTGCTTTCAACCCTGAGACCTGTTTCTTTCTTGAGTAGAAGATAATAGTGCTAAGGTATACTTAGATGATGGTAATGAAAATACAGTTTTGCTTTTAAGAGGACTTCTAGATAGGGCGAAGGGAATTAAGAAATTTGTTTCAGAGAAAAAAAGGGGACAAATCTCTAACCTAGTGTTAACTATGAGAAAAGAGACTTCATATTATAAACATATTTATCTTAACAAAAGCATTAAGGCATTAACTACAGGGTTTAGATGAGGAAACACTGAAACTCAGTTTAACTTGCTCAAAGTCATTTGTCGTAATCACACTGTAATAAGCTGGACAATATTTGACCCCAGGTAATTTGATAGTCTTCTAACTTTTTTTTTTCTTTTTAAGATTTACTTTATTATTTATGAATACAAGAGCTGGGGTCTAGGTCAGAGGTGCAGGGTAAGGTTAAGAAGATTCACCAGAAGCAGAGTGGAGAGCAGAACAGGCAGTTGTACTGAGATACACTGCTGAGGGGAGCCGAAGGTGGGACAGGAGAGGTCTGCTGCGCCATGTGGGTCAGCTCCCTGGCTGGGGATCTAGTTCATGTTGTAGTGCTGGGGCTAGCTTCATAGTGCTGAGACTTAACCACCTGTGCCCCAAGGGAGGTTCGACAGTCCTCTTATTCTGAATAAGCTTCCTATTTTTGCCGACTGTTCAGAGTGTAGAATTCCTCTCTTGGGCCCTCCCTGATGGCACAGTTGGTTGACACACAGCAAGGTGAAGCTGTCTACAGCCACTGCAGAATAAGTTCGATTCCTGGCCAGGGAAGTGAGCCACATGGCACGGCAGACCTCCCCTGTCTCAAACATTGCTCTTCTCAGTAGTGTATTTTAGTCAGTCTGCCTGTTCTGTTCTCTGGTAAACCCTCTTACCCCAACACCTTTGGTTTAAAAACATTTGGCAAAAAACCAGATAATCCACTATACATACTCCATTTCTTCTATGCATAAATAAATAAATCTTAAACAGAATTCCTCTCTTGGTTTTGTAATATCATTTAATAAAACATGTATTTTTTTATGTCTGTTAGCACTGTCTTAGGCACTGTGTGCAATAAAAGAAATAAAAAATATTTGCCCTTACATATTTTATAGACACATATAGCATTTTACTGCACTATACCTTGTGGAGCCTTGAAGATCTGTGTGTTTCTATAAAATCCTCTGAATAGTCAGGATATTTAGCTCTTTTTGCAATAGAATATTTTTGAAAGTATGTATGTTATTTTTGTACATAATGCTATTGTACACAGAAGATTGTAAACATAAGTTTTATATGGCTAGGAATCTAAAAAACTTGTATGATTTTCTTTCTTTTAATAGTTATATGATAGTGGTAAATGAATCTGAAATCTCTCTATAATCTTAATTTAGTAATGATATTTGTAAGTATATGGCGTCACTTAAGTTGGAGTTTTAGATAATTTATACTTGTATTTTTAGGAATCTCAGGTGTTTGTTGTTTTCAACAGATTACTTTCCTAGCATCATTCATTTAGTTTATGAGTAAATGCATATTTTTGTACATTTGACAAACCATTTATCTAATTGGATTGTATGCTAAATTTATCAGAATGTTATCCTGTAGCACACTTATATTTCAGAATGATTGCTCTAAGTTTAACTATTTGAAATTGTAAGGATAAATCTGTTTTTGCTTTTATAGCATTTAGTAAATTGTCTTGAAATGTGTCTTCTAACTAAAACTTATAGTGGATTATCTGTTTTCTTTTTGCCAAATGTTTGTATACGTGGCATGGAGATTGATACAAGAAACATAGAGCTAGAATCATATGTCCTTAAAGCTGGAAAAAGTGATTACCTTATTAAATAACTTTCAGCTTTTGTTAAGAGTTGAAACCTTTCCCACCAACAAAATGTCACAGAAAAGTAAAAAATATAAGAACAAAGAGGGAAGGAATCACAGTGGTCAGTGGTGGTGAAATAGGGTGAATTGGTGGTGGGCTCACTGTAGTGTATCCCACTATTACATCAGTTAAAAATAAATAAATGAGGCCCTCCCTGGTGGCGCAGCGGGTTAAAGCACAGCACTGAGAAGCTAAAGCCACTTCCGCATGAGTTCGATTTCAGCCTGCCCTGGAGGTGACCACATGGCGCGGCAGACCTCTCCTTACCCGCCCGCTGCTCCCCTCAGCAGTGTACTTCATAGATCTGCCTGTTCTGCTCCCCACTCTGTCTCTGGTGAAGCCTTTTCACCATCCCTGAGTCTCTGGCCTGTATCCTAGTTCTGTATGTACAAATAAATAAATATTAAAAAAAATAAATGAGGCCCTCCCTGGTGGCGCAGCGGGTTAAAGCACTGCACAAATAAGCTTAAGCCACTTCCGCATGAGTTCGATTCCCGCCTGCCCCAGGAGGAGACCACATGGTGTGGCAGACCTCTCCTGACCCGCCCGCTGCTCCCCTCAGCAGTGTACTTCATCGATCTGCCTGTTCTGTACCCCACTCTGTCTCTGGTGAATCCTCTCACCCTCCGCATCTCTGGCCTGTACCCCAGTTCTGTATGAATAAATAAATAAATCTTAAAAAAAATAAATAAATGAATATATAAATAAATCATAAAAGCATGAACAAGCTATCTCTTTATTTGTATGCTTCAGACTGTTATCATTGCTCTAGTATTCTCAGCCTCCCACATGCACACTTGTTAAAAATCATTCAAGGTAGAAGAGACACATCCAGTACTGGGCCTGGGTCCTTTTGGTGCATAATTTAATGTCAGGTTGCAGTGAGGGTCCCTGAACAAAAAACCTGCATATGCATTTTGGTTAGCCACAGTTTGGGGTCAAGTTTGTGCCTTTAGCTTAAAAATGTAGTTATTTATGGTTAAAAAATAATATTTTTAATTAAAGAATTTTAATTACTGCTGTCCCTTGAAAAATGGAAAGATTTCAGAGTATTTTGTCGGTATTATGATAACTGTGAGGAGGAGCTAAGTTTCCTTTTGGGTGAGGCATATCCCATCTAAAGTTTTTTTAGACACTGTTCTTACTCCAAATAAATTGTTTGTAATAAATGGTCTTTGTGTATTTCTTGAAGTGTTTTTATGACCTTTGGAATATTTTTAAGGTATATTTTAAAACTTACATTTTGTTTGCTTTTTTGTTTCTTTAAGGACCTAGATGACATAGAAGATGAAAATGAGCAACTAAAGCAGGAGAATAAAACTCTTTTGAAAGTTGTGGGACAGCTAACAAGGTAGAAGATTCAAGGCTCAGTGTGGAAAATATATTTTAAACTACTGATTGAATGTTATGGTTAAGGTTAGGGCAATATTCCTGTGCTGCAATACATAAAACTGTGTATATTTATTTCTAGAAAACAGTGAATGTTTATTTTCAAATATTTGTATTGTTAGCTTCAAAAAAGTATCAAGCTTTTTTTTTTATGAATAACAACTTTCAATTATTAAAATAGGTTATGCCTCCTTTGGTTTTTGTGATATTCAAGTAATATATGATTTAAAGTCACAACCATTTGAGTATGTTTTATCTGTGGTAGCACATTTTCTTAATGAAAAATACATAGTCTTTGTTTACATGAATTCAAATACTTTTGGGGAATTACCTGAAAATGCCTTATTACTGATGTGTTCGACCTTTTATGTTTTGATGATTTACTGATAAAAATCTTTGTCTATTTTCATTTTTTATTTCAACTTATTCTAAGCAATTTAGAGTAATACTGAGTCACACTCTTGTATACAGTCATCTTTGAAAAGGAGAGCTGTTATAAAAAGCCACTTAATATCATGCACTAGCTGACTGAATATAAAATTTAAAAGAATACTTGAATTGTGCTATATTAAATGAAAATGTACTATTTTGTATTTGAATATGAAAAAAATTTAAATTACTTTAACTTCTGAAAAACATGCAGTTGTAAATTTAATATAAAATTTCGTATGTAGGTACTACCTTTTTATTATTCCAGGGTTTATAAGTGAACATGGGATATTTAAAAAGTTGTTTGTTCTTCAAGCCTGGAGCGTGTATACAATGTCATTGTAAAAGAAAAGCAATCCATATGTTTAATTACTACATGCATTAAAATCAAAACCAAAAATTTCACACTTAAAAAATTTATACTTATATTAACAAAGCTGTATGTAAATAGAAATTAGTACTGAAATATTTTGCTTAATTCTAACTTAGAGAATAACACTGTGACATGTTGTTCTCATGTGAGAATTACTTCCCTACCTCAAATTTAAGGGATTTTCTTCCTAATATTGGACTTTTAAAAACAATTATTTTAACTAATTCTACAGTTTTTTTCCTATTAAATATTATCTAGGTTTTTTTTTATATTTTGCATTTCATATTGAGTATGGAAACCTCACTTTTAAAATATATTAAGAAATAATTGCCTGTTAGTTGAATTTCAAACATTATGCTGATATCTTTTATTCAGTTAATGTACATAATTGGCTTGAACATAGTAAATCCATTTTTGGGTACCCTGCTGACTCCCTTTCTTTCATTTGCCAAGCCTGGTCATTATTCACTATTGACAAAATGAGAAAGGTGAGACAGTGGAGGATGAAGATGTAAAATAAGTGATAAATGTCCTTTGTTGAATTCTAAAATTGTCAGCCTAGATGCCTTTCCTCCCACCTTTTACCCCTTTCATTTCAGAGGTGTCAACTTTGACTGATCATTAGAATCACTTCGGTGGGATGCTTAAAAAGAACTCCCTGGCTATTGCTACCAGACAGATTTAGGTTGAAACCCTATACAGAATGTTTTTAGCTCAGTGTCTGATGATTCTGATCATGAACTAAATTTGGAAGTTGTCATTACCTCTTTCTTCCTGTATCTTCTTATTGGAGACCCTAGAATATCAGCACAATCTTAACTACTAACATTTCCCCCACCTCCGACTTTTTGTTTAATAATTGCCTGGTAAGTTTTTTGTATGTTCATATATATTTTGCAAAAAGTTAAGTGTTAGATCACCGTGCTTGATGTGGCCATAATTACTGCATAATAGAGCATGTCTTGAGGACTATTACCTGGCACGGGAACTGACCATCCTGCCCACATTGTCTAAGTGGCACAGCCAAAGGCTGTGCCCTGCTCATCTCCTTTAGGTAGGTACGTGGCAGAAATACCAGTACTGCCTGATTCTACCCACAACATGGATGTTGTGAAATGCTGTCACTATACAGCCTTAAAATATTAATAGTGTTTTGGGGTTTTTTTTTTTTTTTCTGTTAAAAAAAAAAAACTATGTTAGATTTTCTCTTTCATTATTACAGAAGTAAAGGTATAGTTAACATCCCTTTTAAAAGTTATACCAATTATGCTAATGCTTCTAAAGACTGAGCTATTTTTAAACTATATCTTTTCTTTAGTTTATCAGGAACATTTCCAGGTTGATCTTTTAGATAGTGGTACCATGTGCAAATAGAGGAGCCTGTCAACTTAAGGCAATTTACACACACAGTCATTTCTCTCGCCTTTAAAATGTGTATTTATATCACATAAAGATGTTTGCACAGAATACTGAAAACTAAAGCAGGATCTGCTATAATTACCTTTTAAAGTTTATAAAACAAAATTGAGATTTTCAAAAGGTAACTTAAGATATGTGCTTTACTTTAGAAAGCTTGGCTATTGTAATAAAGTACTAGTATTTGTGAATTATCAGTCCCATTCAGAATTACTTCTTATATTTCTTGGGTATTTGTGACATAATAAAACATATCCAAAGTTCTGTTGTGTTTATATTTTTTAAATAATTACTTTTTAAATGTGACTTGCCTTCTTAACTTCTTGACAAGCAATGATTTGAAAATTACTAACCTCTCAGTCATTTTTATAGAATTATGTTTAATATTATTGTGCTGCAGTTACCTTGAGAGAGGAGGAGGAGGAAGGCTGTAGGACATATTTCTAAGGGAATTAACTAAATAATTGAGCTGCATTGTCATGCTTGATAAATAGTTTAAGGTATAAACTTAAGCTTTGTGGGCAGGTACATGACATTCAGTATATTCTTTTTTTTTTAAATAATCTTAAAAATTGTGATAGAAGCATGTGTTCCTAAGGTGAAAAAGTTACCTCAGTTACTTCTGACTTATGTTTTCTGGACTCATTTGGATTTTTAGATTGGAAATTAAAAGTTCGGATTTTTACCTCCATTGAAAATAATGTTTATCAAGTGTACATATATATATATATATATATGTACAGTAAATAGTCACCTTTTTTGTAGCATAGGATTTTGAGTTAATGCCTAGTGATTAGCACTTAATCATGATTTTATTAATAAACTATTACAAGATTCAGGTGTATTTTTCCTTTTGTAATTAAGAAAGCAAATGCCAGTTTTTCATTGGAGAGAATATATTAAGTGAGAACTAATGTTAGGAATCAAAAGTTTGAAACCACATATTAAAGTCAGTACTAAAAACATTCTCAAACTGCCTCAGAACCATCCGGAACCATCCCTAGTAGGTAACAATAAATTTTACTTCCTTTGCTTGGTAACTATGCTCTCAAATAAAGAATTCACATTCATTAAGATTGCAACATTTAGTTAGTATCTGAGAACTAGTGACACTTCTGTTGTCCCGTTAATGCTATTAGACAACGAACATTTTGCTCATCAGATATATCAACAAAGGCATTTATCCCCACATGTTAATAGTTTCTCATTAAGAATACAGGTTCCTTTTTCATTCTCAGTGTAAAGACTTAAAACAGTAGTGAAGAAAACCTGAGCACTTCGTTTTTTGTTTTAATTTCACTTTACTTAGGTAGAATCTCATAGCATGTTAAAGTCATGTGTCCCTTTAACCTCCAGAACAGTTATATTTAAGTATGTGAGATTGGAAATATGAGTGAGGGACTCACAGTAAATTTTATACCTATTCTTTCATCAAGTGCTTCTTACTCAACTGGGTATAGATACTACAAAATTTCAAAAAAAAAAAAAAAAAAAAAACCAAGGACACAGACCAACTCATCTAACTAGCCATATATGCTATGTAGTAATGTATGTCAGTAGCATGAAGTGCAGTCAGTCTTAACTAGCATTGGCTAGTCTAACCTGAATAGTTCACTGGAAAGTATGTTTTTGTATTAATTATTCAGCTATTTTCTTTCAGGTCTGGTTCAGTGTAATTTGCTATAGCATTTACTAAATGGTAGAATGACAGACCTGATGCATTTTGGGATGTATAGTGTTGTATTTTATTCTAGATAATTATTCATTATGAAAAGACCATTTTAAAGCAATTTGTAGTGGTAATGAACTAAAGAATCAAATATATATCAGGTTCCACCAAACACTTACAGTATTATATGTATTATACTGTTTTTGTACACAGTATTGATTACTGGTTTATTTTTAGATATTTAAGATTTACATATTGGCTACCTTTGGTATTAATCAGCTATTACTGATGGTCAGTTCATAGTCATTTATTACATGCCTGTTTTGTTTCATTTCAATACTGAGTGTATCTATTATTAGATGCATACAAATTCTGGTGAATTTGTTTCCAGAAAGATTTGACTGGGTATTTAAGCTTTTTTTTTCCTCTAAATTTAAGTATGAGCAAAGATCACATTAAAATTAAATTTACTGTTTTGTTGAACAGACAGCTAATTCAGGCAATCCACATTTTTGTAGAGAAACATTTGGATAATTTATTGATCACATTAGTATTGTGCAGATAGCTTTCATATTCCTATTGCATAAGTTTTATAATGGAGTAGTTGTCAGTTTAACATAGATTCACTTTTAGGATGCTTTGCATGTAAAATAATAAAAATGCAATAAAATAGTAAATTTTCATTTAGTTTTTCAATACTGGCTCATCATTTTTTCCCCCTTTCTTCCATCAATGTAATCCTGACAAGTTTTACTTTTGAAATTAAATGTTGCTAATATTTTCATTACTTTATGTGTCTTTATAACAGTGTACAGTGTTTTAACAATCAGAATATAATAATGGTATGCTTCTTGGCTAAGTAGGAAGTTAACAACACATGTTCAGCTTGACTGAAAATTGTTTTTAATGTTGAAAACTACATGAATAATTTCTTGATTCAGGAACTTTTATCAACCTGGTGATGTTCAAAGAAGTTTGAAAAAAAATAAGTAGGGTTTGGGAATGTGAAAATCTAGTCTTTTCTTAGTAAATGGGTTTACATAACCTTTTACCTAATGTGTTTTCTTCATACACCTGCCCCAGAAAATCAGTCTTTACTTCCAGAACTCTAAATTAGTCTTCCCAGTAATGTCATACATGTCTAACAAGTGAACAAGCATACTTCAGTCAGACTATTTAGATAATGTTTCAAGTCCTTACATAAGAACATTTTCCATTATTAGCAAGCCTATTGAAGGCATTTGCAACCTCTTCCAATCTTAATTGGAAATGGAGCTCTTCATCTTAGATTTCATCAAATCCCTTTTCTTTCTCTTTTACTCAGTGTGTGCACACAATTCTGTCAAGAGCTGTAAGCTACTCATATTTTCTTAATTCCATTCTTTTATTTTCTCTTTTCACCTCTATAAGAGGTTGCATTTTGTTCCTGGTCAGGTTTTGGAAAAAATTATGTAATCCTGTACAATTGATTGGGATAGAACTGGTTATATTACCTTTTACAATGCATATTATTTTGATACCTAACAAGGTGAGGTTGAAAGCAAAACTAAAAAGCAAGACTTGTTTCTTAATCCTGGACCAAGTGCACAATTTTACTTTACACTCACCTTCAAAAAATTTCTGAGACGTAATATAGATACTTTTACTAAAGGAAAAGCTCTCCAT